ATCACATCAGATTTAAATGGCTGACCCAAAATACAGTGATACATGTATAAAAAGAACAGTACTGTTACTTGTACCTTTAATCTCTCTTTTTTTCCCGCATACTCAAGAGTTTCATTTAAGGGCCAGGCACCAGGCAAATTGACCGGCCGTGAGGGTGATTTTGTCCAACTGGTTTGTCCATCTAGGGAAGGTTTTATTACAAAGAAGTTCAGTTCAAAGAGTTTTGTCCACCTGTGTAATCCAGTTGCCCTCCTGCTAAATATGTTAAGAAAACCTTGATACTTTTAGTTGGCATAAGTTGACATAAATTAAATAAATTAAGTTAGCAAAAATTAGTTTAAGTCTCATGTTGTGTTATATTCGTTTCAGAACTCAGGTATTGAGAAAGCCTTTCTATTTGATGTGGTCAGCAAAATTTATGTGGCTACAGACAGGTAAGGAAAAGTTTAAAAGTATTCAACAAATGAAGAAGCCTAAGCCGTGNCAACAGTAATGCCAACTTCTTGACAACTTTGTGATAACCCTGATGTACGACTATCTTTGATTGTATCGTCACTGTATAACCAAATTGATGATCTTATTTATTCTCATGACCTGGCTGCTTCAAAATGTATTAGTGCTAATAAGAGAATTTAGTTATTGATCACATCAGATTTAAATGGCTGACCCAAAATACAGTGATACATGTATAAAAAGAACAGTACTGTTACTTATACCTTTAATCTTTCTTTTTTTTTCCACATACTCAGGGGTTTCATTTAAGGGCCAGGCCCCAGGCAAATTGACCGGTTGTGAGGGTGATTTTGTCCACCTGGTTTGTCCATCTAGGGAAGGTTTTATTACAGAGAAGTTCAGTTCAAAGAGTTTTGTCCACCTGTGTAATCCAGTTGTTCTCCTGCTAAATATGTTAATGAACCCTTGATACCTTTAGTTGGCATAAATTGACATAAATTAAATAAATTAAGTTAGCATAAATTAGTTTAAGTCTCATGTTGTGTTATATTCATTTCAGAACTCAGGTATTGAGAAAGCCTTTCTATTTGATGTGGTCAGCAAAATTTATGTGGCTACAGACAGGTAAGGAAAAGTTTAAAAGTATTCAACAAATGAAGAAGCCTAAGCCGTGTATTGCACTGTGATAAAACACGACGG